CGTGGGAACCAACATGAGCTCTTCCAATGTGTTGTTTAAGCACTGCCCTTCAATCCAGCAACTACCAAGAATGAATTCGTGTGTATAAATTATAGTTATAGTAATAACAAACCAACAGATAACCGATGAACCAGGACCTTCAAAGTGACCTCTTTGGAGTCTGTAGGTGACCTCTTCAGGGACTAAGTGACCTCATTCTGGGATCTCAAAAGGTCACTTTGAAGGTCCTGGAATGCAGTGACCAACGATGGTTCATTTGTTTGTTAAGTAACATGTTACATGTTACAGATATATGGGTTTTGGACATTTGGGGTATCCACCTTGCATCGTACCTACTACTTACCTGGCTTGCCTCTCATCGATGATCCTGCCAAATCTGCCATGTGATGCCCACCCATGACTCCTTTCGTGTCCTGACTGCTTTTCTGCAAGTGTAAGCACTCTCACATGGGACGAAAAAGGGCACAAAAAGGAACATGAACATCACTCACCTCCAACATGATGGGCTTATACTACGTCACCGGTCCGTGACGGTCTTGATCGTGAACCACCCCCGAAATGGCGGGTAGACCTGGTAGACCTTCGGCTCCGACCAATCGGCTCCAACCGAGGCCCGGGTGCTTATGACCCGAAGGTGAATGCCGTCCTCATGGGCATTCCCAGGCCACAGGGGCCGGAACAGGAGGTCTCAGACTCCTTGGGATCTTAAAAGATTTAAAAGGTCACTTTGAAGGTCCTGGTTGTTTCGGTTGGTGATGTAAAGACGTCTACACTTCGTTCTATTTTAAAGCGATGAAACACCTATATGCTTGAATCGTCAGTCGCTGCACGATGCTTTTCCAGTCATTTGACCAATATACACAGACCTGCTGGGGTGTCAACTAGGGGTCTTTTCGGGTGACCGGCATCCCGTGTGGTGCCTTCGCCAGGTGTGGCTTTGGAACCGCCACCCGTGCGGACATCACCGGTGCAGCCAGCAGCCTTTTTGGGCCTGGGCCCGGCGCGTGACGTGGCAGAAGAGGAGAGTGATGGGTCCATCGATTTTAGGTTGTGAAGATGGGCAGGGCATGATCAGACGCAGTTTATGAACATTAGGCTCCCAGTTTGATCCAGTTTGTGTGTTCTCACCTTCCGTTTGGAACCAAAAGATGATCGCAACAAAAACAGGTTCAGCCATGGCTCGACTCACCGCTCACAATGACGTCACACGACGGACTCCTGACTCGCACGGACTCCTGACGGACGTTGGGACGTTCTCCGAGGTACGACTTGCAGAACGCCATGTCTTTGGGGAAGAACGGGCCAAAGTACTCCGCAACTTCTCGACGGCGGGCTGGGGAGCCTGGTGGGAGCCTGATAGGAGCCTGGTGGGAGGCTTCACCTCCCCAAGCTGGGGCGGTGTCAAAAGATGGTCAGAACTGCATATATAAACAGCTTAACAATATTATAGTGTTTCGTTATATGACTTGCTTTTTACTTATTTCATATTACATTGATTTATTGATTCATGGATTTTCACTGTTCACCACGTCTTTTTGAGTATTGACAATGCCGAATCGCATCCCATCAGCCGCCATTCCTGTGACAGACTTGTCCCTTAGGTGCACGACCTGGATAGCTACGTGACACCGGGCCCTGGTACTTACAATGCGCACACAACATCCTTTGTGCCCGGACAGAAATCGGTGCCCAATGGCACGCTTGGTGTCCTGTGGGCAGAGGATGGCGCTGAGTTGGGGGTTGAAGTGATCCCAGTTTGTTGGCAGAACATGCGGGGGAGTTGGACGGGTGTGTCCAGGAGAGGGACATGTTTTAAAACATTTCAAGACTTCATCTGGACTGGCCAAAAGCTACGGTACATCCAATATTCCCCTCAAGTGGTTCAGAACATCCAGCCGGCTGTGATTTCACCCCGCATTAGGAGTATGCGTAGTTTGGCTGTTGGGTTGTACCTCAAATGCAAATGATGTCGGTGTTCTTGCAGGGCCGGCCTTGTGGCCTGATGAATTGTTTCACTCACCACGTGAAGAACACCGTTCGCCACACGACTCCGGGCCCAAAGCGGGTTTGGCTTTCCAACGATCGATTCACTGCATCTTCGTTCGGTGAAGGAGGCGAGACCTCGCCCTGAACTTTAGTTGGCATTGGTTCCTGTCCTGTAAATCTCCAATCCAGGCATGGAGAAAGGGATGGGCTACCGTTGAAATGGAGAAGTCTTTTTGCACTGGGCTCGGAACACGGTGGGATACCCAGCACTGCACAGCTCTATGGCCAGGCGCCCGAGTTCGCTTTCACCTCCACCGACAAAGCCTTCCATTCCAATGATCGGCCTGGTGACCCTGTGGGCTCTGGTGTGGAATTGTGTTTGCGCAACAAATGTGGTGTTTGTGGCAAGGCCGGCGGGAGTAAGTTCAATGAAGTTGTCTATAAGACCTAGATTAGATTGGCCTCGTGATCCAGATATCGATTCGGTTTCGATATTATGATGAAATAAATATATACATATATATATATAGTCATATATTATATTATACAAGCTAGTTATAAACTTATATTAATATTACAATATATTATGAAATAGATTGAACTCGTGTTAATTACTCAGTCACATTATTGGTATGTGTGAGTCTGTGGGATGGGTGTCCTTTCTTTTGGCGCCTACTGAACCCTTTGGTCGACCCAAGGACCCGCTGCGGGGTCCTTGGGTCGACCAAAGTGTTGTGCCCTAAACAAAGGAAACAGATGGGCACTATACTGCTAGGACAGCTTTTGCTTGCAACGTAAGTGGTTATTGAATGTGCTTGATGGTTCAGTTTGCTTGGTAATTACTATACTATACGACTGTATGTCAATGTAGTTCGGGCAGAACACATGGTCTTTGATGTGGGTGTTTAGTATGTGTGAGCATTGTGCAACTTGCTTTGATATTCATGAGGATTCCAAACGCCTGAATCGCCTGATAAGAGGATGTAAACATGCTTCAGTAGAAAAACACCGTTTGTACGGGGTCTTCTCATTTTCTGAAAACATACCTTTTGTGAAACCTGCTCTGCTTAAGACACTGTACATTTCACCCCGTGTAGCTGTTTTACCCTCACAGAGGCTGTTGGATGTCTTCGACAGATCCAGATGAAAAGAGTGACCCGAGCTTCCAACTGTCCAAAGCCCGCGGTTCCTGAGCAGGTGAACTTGTTTGACAGTGTTTTTTTGTTGCCGTGTGAAGCCATACACCAAGCACCAGTTCCATACACCGTCTCGCTTCACACACCAAGCTCCGAAGCTCCATACACCAAGCTCCGAAGCTCACGGTTGACAGTGTTCTTCTGTCGCCTCCGCTGTTGAACATGATGATCGGCCCGGCCTGGAATCATTGCAGTTGGTGCATCCGAAGATTTGGCGCAGAAGCAAGTGGCCATATCTCAAGCAAAGCATGGAATGACTGGCATGAATGGGTCGCGCTTTTGGGAAAGCAAAGCGGATTTTTTGAAGGACATTTCATGATTCCTGGGGCAAAACAGTGACCTCTTCTTTCTTGTAGAGTTCAGTCCTAGCATTTTACTGAGGTCACATTCACATACAACATTATACAACAAAGAGCCCTCCTCTGAGCTGCCGAGGTCTCACGAAGTGAGCCGCTAGTGAGCTTTGCCCACATCGAGATGTGCACCGGGACCAAGGATGGTCAAGTTGATAGGTCTACACGTTCATTCACACTTTAAGATTTGTTTTAACATGAATGAGTGTTGTTGTGATGACCAATTGTGCACAGAGCAACACTGGACTTGCGCCAGGCGAGTAGAGAGACCCCCTACCCGGCTTTAGTGAGAAAATATACGTCCTCCAACCCATCGAGCCAGGCATGCTTGATCTTCTGGACGTTTTGTGACAGCTGCAAAGACAACATCAACAACAAAAGAAGCAGGTTGAACCTGAACTTCACAATGTATGTATTATATATTATGTGCAGACGTAGAAGTGCTCAGTTGTTTTTTTCCTGAGCAGCACCGCCCCCCTGGTATGTTCCGCAACACTTGCCAGATCTCGACTCTGGGTGTCACATTTGCCCACCGGGCGCGGCCGGCATCGACGGTGTCTGTGCACCGTTCTTCGACTTCGCTTCCTCATGAGTAGACAAAACCCCCATGTCTCCTAGGCACCTCCGACCCTCCGACCGTTGCTTCAAGCACCCGTCGGTTCGAGACGGATCAGACCCGTTGGTGCCCTTTTTTTGGAGCAGCCGACCAGACGACCGATGTCTCCACGGTGTTTTTTGATGTTTTTTGGTTTCAGTCGATGATGGTGCTTGATGCATCCTGCACAAGTAGTATCAAGTGGTAATCCCACAAGTGCGAAGGGAAGTGCTACTCACTGAGGGAAGTCACAGAAGTTGAGATACTTGGCGTTGTATTCCTGCAAGCACCTTAGATACCTCTAGCACCTTTCCCAACATCCCAGATGGAGAGCCCGTCGCCTATTTGTTTGTTTTCAAGGGCGCAATGGAATAGGTCCAAGATGAAACGCGTTGACACCGGTGTGCTCCAAATTGCAGTCCTCGTCAAGACGAGTGAATCTCACCAGCGCAACGTGAAGGATTTTAAACAGGTCCACACAAAGAGTTGGACCTGACAGATTGCCTGCATTTCACTCCATTCTCTTATATGACTCCTGTGACATGACATGTGACATGTTTGACATGTTCCTCAACTATCCTGATCAACATGGTTCAACGTCTCTTTTTTGGGAGGCGGCGTGATTCCGGTAGCCACATGCCTTCTGAAGGCACCAGGCAACCTTTCTGGAAAAGCTGGCGGGTCGGATGCGCCTTGTGTTGGGGTTGTCGTGTAAGGTTCCACCCAGAGCACCTGACAGCAAGGCCTGGGGTCCCCGGAGCACCAGGTAACCCGACCCTGTTGCGCGCACGATACGTGTGGATGCAGATACTTCCGTGGTGCATGGTTTGGATTGGAAAAGAAACGAAACACGGAACCGAACCTTCAGCTGGGCTTCAGAACCTTTGCACGGAGCTTGAAATCCCGTGGCTCGGGATTTCTGCTGCAGTAGGCTGTAGGCTCGGTTAGGCTGAGAGACTACGAAGCAGAACGCACTCCATGGACCTCTCATCCAGGCGATGGCAGCCGGGAGGGAGATGGACGGTGTTTCAGCCTGAGTCAAAGGATCCTGGTTTCTCATGCATGAGATGGTTACTAATGTCTTCTCCAAGTGTTTCTTCAGGCTTTTGAGACTTGTTCAGACATTTGTGGCCACAGCTGAGTGGTGAGTGGCAGCCCCTTTCCCAGGTTTCGGGGCGCGACCAGCAGCCCCCGACCCAGCACTCAATGCACCCCATGCTGCACCGGTTGAAGTGAAGTCTCAGACTAAAGAAGGGAACCCCCCCCGCGAATCAGGCAGCGCATCGAAGGAGAACAAGAAGAAAGGCATTGGCATCGATAAGCACTGCCAACAGAAGGCAAGAAGCCCCTATTTTGATAGAGACCCATTTGGTTCGTCCTTGCCACTCCGACTCCTCACCACTTTCACAGGTGAGAGGAGCAGGTGCAGATGAATAGACACATTAACTGTCACTGGCGCAATCGGCAGAACATACCATGATTTGTTTTGCAGAACAGAATGGGCCATACTCATCAGACCCGTCGACCCCGGCTTCACCAAAGAACCTCCATTCCCATCGGCCTTCAGCCGGCCTTCAGCCCACCGGTTTGGTCTGCTCGGTTTTCGCTCCGCAGGCCTGCGGAATGTCAGGCCTGCCAGGGTCTGGAGTGGACGTGAATGAACAGTGAACCTGGGTCCTTTCCCCGTCACCTGTGACCGCACTTTCGTGTGGCGACGGAAAAGACACAGCATGACACGCAACAGCGTGGACCGGTCGGTGAGTCGGAACCGTCCGCCTCGAGCGCGCGGGAGGTCCAAGAAGTTCATGCTACTCAAGCAACAGAAGCGAACGGGACATGTGAACGGTCCTAGAAGTAAACGGTATCATGGGACATGTAGATGTATAGGGAAATGTTCTCTAAGAGCAAGCAGTGCTGTTACTGGTACTGTTTACCACAACATGGGCTTTTGCAGACATGAATGCATAGGATCCCCACACCTTTGAAAAAACAGTTCATGCAACCTCAGAATGGATCCACGTTGGATTTGAAGAACCGATGCTACATGACAAGAAGTGACTCCCGGCCTTTGGAAGTTTGAGAGTCAGCAAATTGATACTGAATGTCAGTGAGCACTGAGTATACCCTATTAATCCATCAGTCGAAGGTCCGCCCCATCGAAACCTTCAATAACTCCATGGCGATCTCCTCAAATCCACCAGCTTTTGGCAGCCTGGCTGCCCCGATGGAGGAAAAGCTTTCAGAGCTTCAAAAGCGATTTGACTTTTCCGAAGCAGAGCTGGTGTGCCTCGAAGCGAACCTGGAGAACCGAAGGGCGGCGGTCGGACGGAGGTCAGGCGCGGTGCCAGGTCGGTCTGAAGGGTCGAAGAATGGGTCGGTCAGAAGGACATCGAAGAGCCAACTTGCAGAAGGTTTGGTGTCGTTTGTTCTTGCAGAAGGAATGTCACTGGGAGTCCGGCCAAAAGCCTATAGTCAAAAAAAATAGATAAAGGGGACAAAAGTAGCTTATGATGTTGTTTTCAATTAGAGTATGTAGCGGGCCCCCAGCTAAACACACCTATTCTGCAGCTGGGCGCTAGGTTTGTGGTAGACTTGCGTCAGTTTCTGACTTAGGACATGTTCAGAAGGTCGTCAGGTTTTGAACAGTAGCTGGCCAAAAAAGTGCTAGCCGCACGCTAGCCGCGCGCTAGCACTGCGCTAGATCCGCGCTAGCAAACATTGCCAGATTCCAGCATGGACCCTTCCAAAGCTGACATGCAACAAGTCTTTTGTTTCAAGCCTTGCTTGAAAAGGCACAGAGTTCAGACAGCAATGGTTCAACTTCCTCGGAGAGCATCTGAAAACGATGCAGTGCTAGTGACACCCCTTTTGGTGCCAATACTTGTTTGCTCCATGTTTCCTTCATCAACCAGCTGTGTGTGTGTGTGTGCGTGTGCCAAAAGTAAAGAATACCAATCTTCATTCAACCCATGCAGCCTTGCACCCTTGTGCTTTGTCATTGAAGTTGACCGCATCAGGTAGCAAGAGGGATACCCTCAACAAGCGGATTTTCAGGGACTGTTCATTCGTTCTGTGGCTTCAGCATCATTCGCTTTGCCAAACACATTTTGTGAGAAGTCAGATTACATTTAGAGTTCTAGTATTATGTTCCAGTACAATAATCTATATCAATATGATGGTATGCACCATATTACAATATATTTCATTATGTTTTACTCGACTATACTCTATTCATATTATGCTATACTACATATATATATATATATGTATATATAGATATGTTTTATTGATTTCCTTCATATGCCGAGGTGCTTCGAGCTAAATAGCGGCACTTTGAGCTTGGCTAAGATGGCTGCGCCTGGAGCTGAGATGCACCGAGCCGGTTGCGTCGGCCGTGAAAGCGGAGGTTCAGCGGCTGAGAGTGTTTTCTTCAGGCCTGGGGCTCCACGGCCAACTGAATGCATCATGCTTTTTGGGGGAGGCTTCCCTTAAGTTCCCTTCCCTCCCTTCCGATTCCCCACCGCCGTCGAGACAATGTGACTGTCAATAGCTGCAATCGCCGAGCCTGGGGCAATGGGTGCGACGCTGCGAGATCCTTTGTTTTGAGCGCCAGACTCCGGTATAGAGTAACTCATCCTGAACCCTATAGTTTTGTACTTTTTAGTTCCATAACTTGAAAGACCTTTGTTTTGCAAGACCTTTGGCCTTTGCACGGTGAATGACACTTGAGTTGAGTAGCGTTTCTTTTCATTTTGAGATGATGGAAAGAAGATGGAGAGGGAACTCCTTCAATGCTGCGTAGGCTGCTTTTCTGATACTGGTGGGTTGGCGTAGGCTTGCGTAGGCTGTAGGCGGGGGCGCTTGCGTAAGTTGTTTGCGTAGGGTTGTTGTGTATAGGTTGTTTTCGGAGTGCGTGTTCTTTAGAAGACCTTGTCCAAGCATGCCAGGTAGCTAGTATGTGGGCCATTTCCCTTGAAACCAGAGTAATAGAACATGAATGATGCACTAGGCCAGTCACTAGGCACATAGACCACACACACAGAGAGCAAGTTGAAAGCTGCAGGTGCTGTTCTCGAATCCAGCCAGCTTCTGGATTAGTTCACACGCTTGCTTGAGACAATCCAATGTAATGGACGGTGCAGTGCAGCGCAGCGAACTGAGTTCCAATTGATCAGCTGTTTCTTGACTTACAAAAGGCTCTTATGTGTACAGATAAGAGCCCCGCGTAGGCCTGTGCATAGGAACAAGAGTTCGATCATGTTCAATCAGTAGCCCACCCGCCCCACCCTCCTTGGTGGTGTGATTGGCGGCTGACAGTGGGCTGTCACTGCTGCCGGCTTGGTGCCTTCCGTTGCAAAAAGCGCTTTGTTCTTGGTGTTTGGTGGTGTGGGGCAGGGGGCAACCAGGATTTAAAATTCAACTTTGAATTCAGCGTCGTATTCATGGACGGCTTCAGCGATTGAGTAGAAACAACAGAATAGGGCACTTGGTATTTTCTCGCCATGTCATTTGCCCGGCATCGGGCGATGGTTCCACTTAGAGAAAACCTCCTGCATAAGCAACCTTTTACATGGCGCGGGCTATGCGTAGGCTGGTGCGTAGGAGCCTTTGCAGTGTATAAGCTCCAAGCACCCAAAAAGACACTATTAAATCAGGGCTGCGATTACACAACGAGAGGACAAGGGTTTGTGCTGCTGGAGACAAGCGGACAAGGTATAGGCGACACCCAACGACTCTCAGTGCACACTGTTTGTGGCGAATTTTACACGGAAGGATCCCGACTTGTCTAACGTTCCTCCTGTCATTCGCTACAAATGAATTGAAGCAACATATATGCATGTATACAATACAAAAATTTTCACATGGTAACAGCCACCCCTGTGACGTATCTTACTACGCCCACAAGGTTCTCAATTGTTACAATGTTGACAGTGTTGACAACTTTTCACAACTTCTACAACTCTACAGCATTGAAAAGTGCTGCAACTGTGACACGGTTGAATTTCAGCTTTGCCTACCCTCACCTCAAGATTGAGTCACAGGTGAATTGCGACATCAGCAACCACTCTGTGACGATTGATTGCTTGCCAAACGCGCCGACCTTTGCGCCCCGCTTTTCCATTACGCATCCTGCGTTTGATGTTGGGTTTGTACGCTCAGTTATGCGCACTTGGCTACCTGCCAGCCTTGTGCAACCGGCGGTCTGGTCTACTTGATGAGGTGCACTTCCACCCGCCAGTTGCTCATGATGGTCATCATGTTAACGACGACCAGTGGCTCACAGTTCTATTCTCGCAGTTGCCGCGTGCTGAGAGAGACAACGATTGAATGGCGCAGTTCTTCTTCTCGCGGCGGCCCTCCAGCGGCACATTTGGCCAGTGTGCTTATTGCGCTGCGTACATTCTCTCCTCGGCGTTGGTTCGGCCGCTACCCGGAAGAAGACAGCTGACGTTTGGAAGCCGCCAACTCTCAAACCTGCTGACTTCTTGGACCTACCTGCCAAAGGAAATGTATGATTTCCCTTTGCCCGAGTGAGTCTGAGGAGCAGGCCAGGTTTTGCGAGGGGTGGGCTTGATATACATGGACGCTCTCAGGAGGAGGAGGAGGAGGATTGGTTTGGCCACTGTTGGTGGGGTGAGCGCTCGGATTTTCTGCAACAAGGTGGACGAGCTGGATGACCTCTCCACGGCATGTGCACGGAGTCGGAGGCCGGGTGCGCAGCTGATGTCAACAGAACGTTTGCTGGTGTCATGTCAGGCGCCCTCCGACGGTGACTGATCCTTCACCAGTGAATCTGTAGAAATGGGCTCGGTCTTTGCTCATATATACTGCTTGTAATTTCGCGCGCATCAATTTGATGGCTTCCGGTGAAGGTGATTGTGAACAAAGTCGCGTTTCACGAGAAGAGTGAAAGGGGCTAGCGGCTAGACTGATCGAGGATAAACCTTGCCAAGCAATGTAGCGTCGAGCTCCTAGTACAACAGCAGCATGAATCCCCGTAGCTTGCAGGGAGTCACCTTTGAAGAAAGGGAACCATCAAAGGTGGGATTAAATCTCCTCACGTGACTATACTCAAGGAAAATGCCTGCACCATTCAGCTGCTTTGCTGTGCTGGGGCATCACTGGCGCTCATCCTATTTAAGCCTTTTCGTTGATGCTAACAACCAGTAGGGAACCCTCCCACAACTCTTGAGCGAGTTTCGATCAAAGGGAACAGTTTGGAACTGCTGAACCGAACCACACGAAAAATATATACCACCAGCCCTCAACCCGACATGGTGGCGCCGGTGCCACAAGGTTCGAGAGTTTCTTGCAAGTCCAAAGGGATAAGCGGGTGCCAAAGAAGCCGCTGGGCACCCCAGACGCGGCCGACCTCGAGTGCACACAAGGACCACATAGAATGCTTCTTAGAACCTTGCCACACAGCATGTTTGGACAAAAACGATGTGTTTTGGTTTCTTCAGAAGTCGATGACTCAACCAAAAATGGTTTGTGAGATGCCCCTGTTTGTATATACCATTGTTGAGTGTTTAGGTTTGGCAGTGAGCACATGGATGTTTTGTTGGTTGCGTATTTGGCAAAATCTGCAAGGTTGATGGTTCCCCTCATGTTGAAACACCCTGCAGCACCCTTAAAATCCGTGTTCATTCATGTGTTGTGAGGCCATGACTAATTACAGTAATTTTGTTGGTGGTTTTGATGTCATGATTTCAATTGGCCGCGGGCAAGTTCGATGTCGTTTGATTTTTCCTACGCAGTGCTCGGGCCGCCGGGCCTGTGGTTTCCGCTACTGGTTTCCGCTATAATGTGTGACTCAACAGGTTCCTCCTGTGTTTCTTACACGGATCATTTGAACCTCCTTGATTTTTTCGCACCACCCGGGAAAACCTTGCCAATGTTATGTGTTTTCTCAATTTGACTCAACGGTGCAAGCCCGGCAAACCTGCAGACATAGGACCCCAAACCAAAAAACTTGCAAACCGTTCCTGACAAAGGAAACCATGGGCTGATCTGGTTGTTGTCCGAAACCTTGGAAAACTACTGCCTGGTCAGAGTCCAGAGCGGACAGACACACCCCCACCAAAGACAACCGCATAAAGGCACACATGAACAACCCGGACTACATCGGACTACATTTATTTTCCCTAATAATTGATTGGAACCAATGACAATTGGGTATGTATTGAAACAGGGAGACCAACCAATGGGTTTTGATTTTTGTCCTTTTCCACAAGGTCAAACTGAAAGGTCGTTTCATCAAATCCACACTCATTTCGAGCCCAAACGGTCCAGGTTTCTCCGGACAGATCGACCATTGGCTCGGCCGCTGACAGCAGGGCCTCCGTTCGCAGGCCAGCTCAGACAAAAGCTACCTGTCATGGGTGAAGTGGTCATCTGGTTTATGAAGAGGCAGTTGCCTCTTTCTGCGCACCAGTTCTGGATTCAAGTTGTTTGCATGAAAGTCCAAATTAGGGTACGATTGGTTGCAGAAACAATGTATAGAGAGAGCCATGAATAGTGGTAGCATGTGGTGACACTCAAACACATTCCATGTCCATCCCTTTTGGACCTTTGCTAAGATCTTTGCATGTTCATCCCTTCCTTGAGCTATCTTTGCCACAATGGCCCAGTCCACCACCAACACAGCACCTGCCAGCACCTGCGACAAACATCAAACAGAGGCTTGATGGGTCCACCCCCCCCCCCCGCTGTGTCCAGTTGGACGCCGAATCCGCATCGCACGGGTCACGAGGCGACCACAAACGGCCACCATCGCAGGCAGTGATCAACGCGGAGGTGGACAGGTAACCAAAGCCATGGGATGGCTACCACACGTTGTAAGGAAACAGTGGTTGGTCTTCGGATGTCTTTTTTTTGTGTTTTTTTGCACCGAGGTGGTAATGTTTTGTTCTTTTGGACGTCTTGAGTGTTGAAGGTTGAAGATAATGATGCATCATCGTACATTTACACACTAACAGTGTGAGCGTCTATGTTTTTCTTTTTTTCAACACTGTTTGGTACCATGAAAAAAACTGTTTGGTACCATTGCGAAAATCATGATAGTACGCCATGGTGTCCTCAAGGATACTTCCCAAGTTGAGCATTTGCGTCATGCCTTTGACAACATGTGTTGTTAATGCTGCAGGTGACAACGCCTATCAATAAGCGCACACGGGAGGCCACTTCTATCCGCTTCTGTGCTGTGCACTGCAATGTTTGTTGTCCTGTGTACAGGACTGGTGTGTTGCTATTTTGGCTCTTGACAAATAAGTAGAACTCGATCTGAAGAACTGGCACTAGTCCAAGTCAGCTTCCAGCGCTTTATAATTGTTTTCTCGAGTGTGACTGAGACCCTGGCAATTGCCCAATTGTCTTCTAAATTTGCACTCATGTTTGAGCCACTGCAGACGAGAGTTCTTTGATGAAGGTTGCTATCACGTGAGCTTCCAAAGTTGCTTTGATGTAGTATCAATGGACAGTGTCATGGTCATGGTAGTTCTAATGGCATGAATCAAGAACTCTTATTGCGAAGATTGGTGGTAGTTGCGTCGCAGATGAGTGTTGGATTACTCTGTGCTCTCGCAAGAGGCGGCGTACGCAGATGATGCAGGCAGGCATGGCGAGAGAACACAAGCACCATTCTGAGGGCTGGGGGGTGTTCTATATACTTTGAGGTGTTCGCTGGATGTATACTTCCTGAGGAAACTGTAGCTGGCAAGGCTAGGAGTTGGAGGAAAGGCATGGCAATGAGTCAGAGGCTTTTCAAGGTCAGACATGGGTGTGGAAGCCATGGTAGGTGCTCACACAAGGCATAGTCGGCAAGTTTGGGCGCCAGGAACACCTGCTCCCCTACCAATGCCGAGCCATCAGGCAGCGGGAAGCCGGTCGTTCGCTTGAAAGTGTCCTCGGCCTTTGAAGCTCAATCGCAGTTCTACATCGCTGAAGAGTCTTCATCCCTCACATCGAATCTGCCCCACTGAATCTGATGACATCGCCGCGGAAGTTTTAAAACACGCGACAGCCGACCGTTCATTTGCTCGTTCCGGTCCGCAGATTTCGGTGAAGAGTAGCATCAACACTGGGAACTTGGAGAAGACTTCACTGCAGGGGCCCCTGAGATTCGGACAGAAAAGGTGATCCTAAAAGACTTGTTGCTTATGTTTGTGAAAGGTGATTCAAAGATGGCAGATAACGTGAAATGATGATATGTGTAAATGTACTGTAATTAATCCTCAATGAGAGGCTGTTCCAAAGTATGGAGTCCAGATGAGTCCAGAGAAGGACCGTATCCAAGAGCCAAGATTATGTTTGTCCTTTTTCCTCACCCAGCATTGTGGATTGTCAGACTTGCTGTTTGGTTTAGGCCCCAAATGAATGCCAACACGATTCAACACGATTCAATATATCCTCTACAAGCGGAACTGAACGTGAAATTTTGTACATTATTTATATGTCATAGGATTCAGAACCTGATTTCTCGTAATTCCTCGATCCGAACCAGCCGAACTAAACATGATATGTATCGAATTCGTTTATACACATACACTGTACCTAGACCATCCATGCATGGACTATTTACCTACATTGTCCCCTTAACTTATGTCCTCTTTAAAGAACACGCACACCTTAACATCACCCCAAGTGATCGGCAAATATTCCAGTCCCATGAATTGTTGCTGGAGTCCAGAACTGTGCTTCATGGTGTGAAATGCCCTTGTGTGTGTGTGTGTGTCATTTGTTCTTTTTTTGTGTGCTTTTCGCGTCCTCAACGCGTCGTAGCGTTCACGCGCACCGCGTCTTCGTGAGGTCCCAGAGGTCCGAGGTGAAGCTTTTGGGCCCCTGTTTTTGGGCAGGTGTGCGGCGGCGTACGCGTGGCGTACGTGCGGTTCTACCGCGTGGCGTTGTGTTTTTACAGGGGGGGGTGGATGATACTGACTGACCAGAAAAGAAAAAATAGAAAAGCAATAGATGCCTATAGTGCTTTTACAGAGGACTGGGATGAATCTTTGCATTTCAGTTATTGCCTTCTTGGTGTGTGCGCTGTATTTTTGGTAGATACCCCCTATGAATGACTGACGACCGTCATGGCCGTTGTCCTTCATGACACCAAGGCCCGGGATGGGATGTTTAGGGAAGTATTGGAATCTCGCAGCTGGGAACGAGGGCGATGATCTTTCCAGACTACGGCCTCCTTCTTTGCAGATGGATACTAATACTCCGTAGCTAGTTCCGTAAGCCACAGATCACATGGGTATGACCAAAGCAGACCAAAGCGCCGGAGGGTGTTCTTTTATGTGTTTTCTTTTGCAGGGTGATCACAGGAGCCCTCTGGGCTCAGATCAGGACCGTCCTCGCCTGAGTGAGTTAAGATGTCCTGCTTTTGGCTATGAGCAGGCCATCTGGGCTCAGACGACCCAGACGACCTGCTCGAACTTCTGCATTTTCTGCAGCCCTCGCTCCTTCTCCTCAACTCAGATGGGTGACCCTTCTCCTTGGCACCCTTCTGTGCAGCCTTCTGTGCAGCGCCACTTGCGGAGGGTGGAGCTGCGCCTTTGGGAGGTGCGTGAAGTCTTCATCGCCTGTGAAGCCGTCGGTGAAGTCGGTGAAGGATGCGTTGAGCATCGTCCTGGTGACATCTCCGATCCCATCGAACCCTTCAACTCAGCTGCTGAACACCGTGATCAGCTCATTTGATTTGATTGAAGGCCTGGAAGGTTGCCCTCTCATCATGGTGGCGGATGGAATTAAGCTCCAAGAGGGGCGGCCCAAGTGGAATCAAGGCAAGATCAGTGAGGAGAGGTACCAACTGTATTTGGAATACGTGGATTCCCTTCGATCTCAATATGAGGACCACGCCTATCATCCAGCCAAAGTCATTGGGCCTTTAAAGAAGCGTGTGAACTTCGCTCATGCGCTACTTCGAGGCCTCGAAGAAGTTGAGACAGAACATGTTCTCGTGGTGCAACATGACCGTGTCTTTGCGGAACGTTTTTCCATGTCCGACGTCATCGAGCTGTTTCAGCAGTACCAAGAACTTCGCTACGTGGGCTTTCAGACAGTGCCAGATTATACCACCTACGCAGCAAGCAAGTTTGGGAAATGGGTTCGCTGTGCATTGCCCGAACCTGGATTGATCCCTTGCTTCATGTGGTATGATTCGACTCATGTTTGTCGAACCCGACAGCTAGCAAAACTCATTGAACAAGAAGTGAAGGAAGGAGAGTTCATCAAAAACTCATACGGCTGTCGACTTCTTGCTACCTGTGAGGTGCTCAACACCTTTTTTGTTTGTTTAAACATATCATGAATATTCATGAATGAGCCACATTGGAAGCATCAAGTGGACTAGGAAACTAAGTAGACTAGACAGGCATTGTTTAAGATTCATCTCTTTCATTCTTGGTGACTCATGAGTGAGATGTGCGTTGCTACAAGGGTCAGTCCCTTCCCTTTGACGATGCAAGTTGGAACCATATAGGGACAGATGTCTCTGCCAGAAGTTCCATGTGAGGCTGAAATTCGCGAAAAGAAAGATCACTGGACCTGGGAGTACCACATGAAAAACTATGGCCTGTTCCTCTTCCATCCACCGAGCCCGACTTCGTTGAATCCCACGTCTGCGCGCCCCCTGGTGCGTCATGTGAGCGGCCGCACGTTCCTCTCCAGCGAAGAGCGGCTGAAACGCGGCTGGCCGGGTGAACGGCCGCGGGTCACACGCGGAACGCAGGAGAAAGGGAGCTGACAGGTTGGGAAGCAAGAATGAAAGCATATTTCATGTCGCAACATCATGCGACATCATAACACCCCCCCCTCCAACCGCCCCCCCTTCAACATAACAGTGAAACATATGGAAACCACCCTGAAATCATCGGCAGAGGCTTCTCCCGTGTGACTCCGCTTTTGAACACCGGAACGCCGCGGTTCTCGGAACGTCGGACGGGTAGTGTGCATGGGTGGGGCCGATCTCTGTGCAGGCGACTGCTATGACCTGTGGCTTAGGGCTTATCCATTGGAGGTGACTTCTTTGGAAGTATACAGTTGGTCTATGACCCAAAAGTGAGGAAAGCTTGTCCTTTGAGGGAGACGGCTAAGACCTGGGACAATCCGACAGCGGCAGGTACCCGGTCAGACCTGTGTAGCGCTACATGCAGCCAGAATCTGCATGGGGACTGCTTAAGCTAGTGTCAAGGCAAAGCAGGCAGGTAGTGTCAGGACCTTTGGAGATCACAGACAGGTAGTTCCCGTAAGATCATGCTGTTTGTTCACGGTTGATACATCGGAATGGTTTCCCTAATTTTTGTTTGCCTTGAAACAGCCAGGTGAAGAAGGCCATGATGCTTACACGTGGATGGATGAGGCGCTCCTTGGTGCTGGCGTAATGGTATATATAATATATATATTCTATTTTGAGCGGGGGGAGTGATTGCTGGTAGGTGACCAGCGATGGGGTTGTTGATTTTGGTAGTTGGTCGTGGTCGTAGCCCATCGTAGCCCCAATTAGGACCTTTACTTGAATCTCTCACAGAATGTTAGGAACAGCACCAGATGGCCAGTTCTCCCAGTTTAAGGGCCTCGAATGGAACCTATAAAGACCTACGAAAATAGCTGAAAGACAAACAGTACCCATATATATATATAATTATATAATATATATATAGTCAATCATAGTGAGTCGTCCATCATTTCCTGGAAAACTAAAGCTGCCATTGGCTTTTTCAGGATGGATCGTTGTCCTGGCCGGACAGGTCACCTTTGCACCGGGTCTCATTTTTCTCACACGGGAGACTTTTGGCTGAGTGGCTAGGGGGATCCAAGATGCTGGGGGGATCGAAGGTCCTTCCACATATCTTTCAGTGAAAACACCTGAGAATGATGTCAGAGAATGAGTCCTACATCCTCAAGCCGGCATACGAAGTCTCCCTCCAACCCCCCAGAAACCACCATCCTGTGAGTCAGATGACGATTCTCAGTTCTCGCACTCTTTTGGTCTTCCAAGCACACTCTCTTCTGAAACAGCGAGGGATCCGTGGAGTCGATGAATCCATGGAGATCCCTGGAGTCGTCCGCGCGCGCGCACGGTGCGCGCGCGGACCTCTGTCAGGCCATCTCCGAGCGCGCCGTCCGGCGGGACGAGCGTTTGCAGGCGGGGAAATAGGACTTCAGAGCACGACGTTGGCGACTGGGGTCGTGCTCCTCTTCGCCAGCTTGGTGGATGTCCTTACCAGGTGTCAAGGCTCAAGAGGCTCAAGGTTTCTTAACACACACCTCAGATACCTCAGACAGGTGGAGGATAAGCCGAAACAATTTGAGGAAGATGTCTTCCTGTGGCTATTGTTCCTCCTCCACGAGGGTCTAAGCTGAGGAAGGTCCCCACTAGATGAATGTAGATGCCCCTGGCACCTGACCAAGTTAAGCTTATGAATTATATAGTTTGCATATGTTTGCATATAAACCTCTTCAACTAGAAGTGGTATACATATAATGAGCAA